GGGGGGGGGAAATGGGAGGCGGGGAAGAGGCGGAAATTTTTTTTTTCAATAAAAAATTATATTTAAAAAAAAAAAACGGACTCTCTAATCGTGGCGGACAATGAGGGCTGCCGAGAAGCCAAGGACAATGGCAATGGGTTTTGATCCTACTTCATGTTCTGGCTTTGTGGGAGCCTAGCCAGTTTGGATGTTCACCTTCCTAGACCAGGACGGAGGGGGGAGGACCTTGGACTTTCCACAGGGCAGGGAACCCTGACTGCTCTTCAGACTGGAGAGGGAGGGGGAGAGGAGTGGGGGGAGGGGGAGAAAAGTGGGTGGAGGGGGAGGGAAAAGGGAGACAGGGAGGGAAATGGGAGGCGGGGAGGAGGTGGAATTTTTTTTCAATAAAAAAAAGAAATAAAAACAACAACAACAACAACAACAACAACAACAAAACAGGCCATGGACTAAGACTATCTATAGCACCTTGCAATTTATATTTAATCCAAATTAGCATCATAAGCCCTATAAGTGAGCAGGTTGTTTAACCAAGCCATCCCAACGACCTGAACACCTGATGAAATTTGTATGGCAGTGTATCAAAGTATGCATCTAAAAAGGTTTTGGGATGCTTAGGTTAACTAGTGTATGCATCTCTGTAATATAAATTACAATGTGTAAAACACAAGATTTTTGAACAAAGTACCAAGTATTTCCTTCAATCCCTCCACTTGCATATTCATCCATTCATCAATTCAGCCAAGCCAGGATTACATTTTTAAACTAGTGTATCTTAACTCTTACGTGATAAAGTCTAGAAGTGAGGCATGTTGCGAATGGAGCTGGATCACCCTTTCAGTGTTATCCACAGGTAAGGACTGGTTTGAGTTAATTCCAGGTGGCAGTCTTCCACTCAAGTTAAATACCACATCATAAATTGTCTTATTATATTTGGAAAAATCATACTGTCTGGAATATTTCTTGCGTGGTGAGGATGATGAACAGAATTGTATTTTCTGCACATCCCTATGGGGGATAAAAGGAGTAAATAAATCTCAGGCTCAAAATGTTACTTTGTGCAAAAACATGGTCAATAACCAAAGCAAATTATATTAAGGTAGAAAGAACAATAAATCCTAAATTGTAATTCATGTGGCTACTATGTGCAAGCACAAATTAAATTCTTAACTATTCCTGAAGATTCCACACTACTTTACTTACATGTCTATCACTAATAATGCCATTTAGGGGCTCAAAAAGTGAATTGGAAACAGACTGGGTCTGAGAAAAAGACTCATAATAAGAGTTAATTCTTGCTCTCATTTATTAAGACAAGTAACCTCAACTCACTGGGTACAATCAAGCATTCTATAATCTAAACACAATTTCTATACTTTACAATGTAATTTTAAATTTTAAAATATATCATACATGTATATACAAAAATAAATTCACTTATTTTCTCCATATTTGGGTCTTAACTACTAGAATAACCTGCATACTGACCTAGCAAGGATTCTTATTTAAAACATAAATTTCAGAATCCTACTGTTCCTATATACACAGCTAATCTTTAAATAAGATACAGCAATGTTTTTCTACATCTTTTGCACAGACTGCCAATACATACTCATGTTTAATGGAGTAAAAAAAAAGTCTACTAATCTTTGCTTTCTACATTGTTATATATCCCATCATAAACTGTGTAACTATTTGTTCACAATTAAAATCACAAATGTATCATGAGTTCAGAGTGAGAAATTAAAAGTATCCAAGAAGTCATTTGGATTAGTACCTCTCAAATTTGGTAGAAAGGGTCTCAATAGCCTAATAGTACATTGTATTAGAAAAGGGTTAAGTTGTCAAACATGGAGATACCACTTACACTGTATTCTTCCCAGCTTCCTCAAAAATATAAATTACAGTAAAGCTCCTGTATTCTAGAATTACTAATAGGGAACAAATATTTTATGGAGAAAATTAGTGGGGCAAATGAAAAATAAATAACAGCCAATAACAACAGACACATGAGGCACCAGATAATACACTCTTACAACAGATTTTTGTTAACCGCGTGTATTATGTTCAAGATAGAGGAGTTTTATCATTGAGGTATAAATCACATGAAAATCTAGAAAAAATACAAAATAAATATAAGACATCAATGAATAAGTTTAATGATAAATCCTGCTCTGTGCAGAAAGATGCAAGCACAATTACTTGTAGCTTACTGTGTAAGGACAAAAACAATGGTTAACTGATTGTTTGGCCTCTGCAGCTGGTGATTTTACATGAAGGTTTGCTGTAGGTTGGGAATGAGAGCTCTGAGCTCAGTCCTAAAGACAGATGACTATATTCTCATGATCTTCTAACCCGTAGACTCCTGTGCTGCCAGGTGGGGTCTGACAAAGCTAAGGTGGGCAGGCTGAGTGCGCAGCTCTCTTTCTTCTTCCTACATAATAAAAATCTCAGTATTCTCCTGCTTTCAAGATTCTAGGAGATGTTGGAACAGTCACACCTCATAACTACATTAAACACTAGATGGGAAAAATTCTTAGTGCATTCCACTAACCAAGGAACTAGAAAAAAAAAAAATTCTTCAGTCTTTACATTCTTCTTTAAGTCTACTTTTATTGTTTTAGTATTGCTTTTATTCATATTTTCTTTAAAACTGCTTTCATGTTACATTTCATTTTACATTTAATTATACTTGCATAATCTTTCTCAAATTTTGTAATTAGGTCCTTTGTTAAATATGTGTTTTTATCAGTTCTTTGAAATGTCCATACAACATGTGACTATATTCACCCAAACTCTTCAGAGATCAGACATTTTAAAATCTACTGTTATCTTTTCTACTCCCTCACACCCTTTCCCTTTTCTTTTGTAATTTAACCTTGATTGTTTTTTTGTTTTGTTTTGTTTCCCTTTCTTACCAAACTTTTATTTCATTGTTACAAGTTTTTTTTTTAATTTACTAAATTCAATATCATACTATACTCTACATTGTTTGACAATTTATTTTCTATTATTGTGGAAACAGTAAACCTTAACTGATTTTTCTGTCTGCTTTAGTATAGAATGGTTGCTCTAACAACTATTTATCTTCCATGTGTACATGATCATGTCCTGAGTTCTAAAGAGAACACTCACAACTGAAAAAGATTAATAACAATGAAATAGCTCAACATCCTAGCAGTATAAAGTAAAATATCTAAACATAGAAAAAGATGAAAGGAAAATTATATTTCCAAAAATCCCAGTGTTTTTAATATCCCAATTTAAAAATGGTGATTGACTTCAAAGAAAACTCAATAAATAGATGACTAAAAGAAATGTATCCCAGGCCCTGGATGTAGCAGGGTAACGCTGAGCAACCCTGTAATTGCAGTACTTGGAATGGAAAAAAAAAAGGAAATTTGTCACAGTTTAAGGCCAACCTAGTTTACACAAGTAGTCCCAGAGCTACATATATATAGCAGTACCATGTCTTATAAATAATTCTGAGGAAAAAAATGGAAGTCATAGAACTAAAAATTTCAGGAAAACAATAGAAAACTCAGTGAAAAGAAATTATCAACAGAGACAACAATGAATAAGATAAAATATGAAGAGCTAAAGAAAGTTGAGGAATTACTATTTTCAGATAGCAATAAAGAAATAAAGATTTCAGTGTTATAGAACAGAATATTATTTTAATATGTGTTACATTTGTTTGTGCTATGGAAGATTTGTTTTAATGATGCAAAGGTATGTTTTATTCTTTTATGATACATTTGTTTAACTCTGTGAAGCTGTGGTACTTTGCCTGTCTAAAGCACCTGATGGTTTAATAAAAAGTTGAACATCTACTAGTGAGGCAGGAGAAAGGATAGGTGTACCTGGCAGGCAGAGAGAATAAATAGAAGAAGAAATCTGAAAGGAGAGGAAGAGGAACAAGATAGAACAAGGACAGGAGGACAGCAGGGGCCAGCAACCCAACTACGAAGCAAGCCATGGAGAAAAGATGTAAAGAAAGGTATACAAAAATAGAGAAAAATACAAGTCCAGAGGCAAAAGGAAGATGAAATCATTTAGGATAAGAAAAGCTAGCTAGAACAAAGTGAAGCTAAGATCAGGCGTTTATATGAAATAATAATACTCACTGTGTGATTTATTTGGGAGCTGAGTGACAGTCCACCAAATAACAAAGAAAAAAACCAACAATATGATAATAATATGTGAGACCTCTGGGCTACAATTAAAACCTCAATCCAATGAGTTCTATTCCATAAAAGAGGGTCCTAAGATAAAGATTAAAAATACTCCTGCACATACATGCAGAGAAATCAAATTAGACAGTAGAGCTCCCTGCGAGTTATGCAATCATTCTTAGTGTCCATCTACAGAGAAATAATGAGGAAAATATTACACACAAACATTCAGACATAAAGAGGAATAAAATAATGTTGCTTGTAAGAAACTGCAGGGAAAAGGAAATCATGTACAAGAAAGTTAACCATATTTAGAAAAAAATTCATATTTCCTATCATAAACAGAATCTAAATTATAAAAAGACATGTAAGCAGAAGAGAGATTATTTCAAAAGATGAAGAAGGCCAGTGGGACGGGGACAAAAGAACATGGGGAAGTTAGTAAGGTCAAAGTACAGTATATACATGTAAAGATAAAAATGAAAACTCAATATTTTATAGAGAATTAATGCTCACAAGCAAGCTAATTTAAATAAAAATTATTATGGTGAAAAAGCACATATGAATCTCAGAATTTAAATTTGCATTTTCTTAGTCTCAACAGTCTCCTAATAATTAACCAGTTTAAAGTATATTGTCTGTTTCACTTAAAATGATCTAAAGAAGTACACTATACTTTTAAAAAAATGCAAAACAAAGAATTTATAAAATATGTATAGATCACCTTCTTATTGTCTCAGGAATAGAAAGAGAATGGGGCCCTTCAGGCCAGCCAAAGAGACTGAACCAGGTCTGAGCTGCATTAACAACCTTCTGAAAATATTCATAAGCCTTTGATCCTTTTTCAGGTGCAAAGAACTGTTGGTTCTTCTCTTCATTTTCCAGAGATCCAACATTGACTCTATCGAAAATGCTGTCATCTGAGTCAAAACGATCACGTGAAATTTCCATCCCTAAAATCCAAATTGTTATGTTATCATTTTGATTACCATATTCTTTTAGTTAGCTCTACTAATAACAGGCAAATAAAAACCCCTTCAAGAAAGCATTCCATATTCTTTAATAAACTCATGTGCATCTACTACATTTTAAAATAATAATAATATAATCATTCCCCAATACTCAAGAGTTTAAAATATACTTATTCAATATAGAAATGAGTGACGTTTTATACTTCTTAGGAATTTATTCACAAATAACTCTCAAAATATGTTTACTCCAGTTTGCCTAAGAAGAGCTGATTAACATTTTTAAGCATTACTTATTATACAAAATTATACTTTAGTTGAAAGAATTACAGTAAGAAAATGTCAACTATATATTCAAAATGTCTTTCTCTCTAAGTGCATTTAAACAAAATATTTTGCATTATGAAATTTTTAAAAAGTATAAAATTAGCATGTTCTACTCTTTCAAAAGTATTTATAAATGAAATTACAAAAATGCATAGATGGACACAATTGAAACTCTATTTGTCCAATGGATAAAAATTAATTTTATCACATGATCTATATCTAGAGAAAGGTATATTTTATGATAATTTCAAATAATATCAAACTCCCCTGTTTACCTATGCTTACAACTTTCTAAGACTGGTTACCTTGGATCGAGCTTAAAAAATATACAATAAAACCCTTAAAACTGCAGTTCATAACCTGTACACAGAGGGTACTTATTATGTTATGAAAATATTATAAGGGATCAGTAGGATAGTTAACATTTAGTTAACTATAAAAAGACAACTACTCCTTGGTTTTCTACTCAGTTAATTAATGAATGGAATCAAGAGGTACAAATTTTGGTATATAGAATACTATTAAGGTATTAAAAATATTGTAAATGCAGAGTTTCTATTGCTAATCATTGAGAAACTTACCCAGAGCTGATGAACCTTAAGACTATGATAATTCTATGTGATTTTTTTTAATGAATTTATTGCATGATACATAGTTTGATATTGAAAAGATTATTATAATGGACTAGATTTAAAAAGTGCATTATACATTTTTCACGTACCAACAAATAGGTTCCCACATGTAAGGTCAGCATCAATAATTTTAGAAACAATGGATGTCCGTTTCGAAAAATGTGTAGAAAGTGATTTGGAATCCCGGCGTGGAACCGTAGGAATCAAAAAACTGCCTCTAGGCTTTTTAAGAGATGCTTCTTTATCTACAAATGACATTAGAGCATAATTAGTCACAGAAATGTGTGAAATTTCATATCACATTTTCTAATTTGTATTCCATAATTCATATAAGATAGCAAAAGAAAAATTATAAATATCACTCATGTTATTATATGAGATGACAAATTAAAATAGTATAAATTCTGGTAAGATTTTGTAAACTGAATGGCATTATTAGACAAGCCAAAGTACTAGAGAATTAACAACATTTATTTTTAGACAAAAATGTATAAAACAATTTAAATGTTATTACACCAAATATTTGGAATTATTACAAAAAATACAAAAAAAGAGTCACTAAACAAAACAACTTTTCCTAATTGATTATCAAAAATGTAATCACTTTTTGTTTATGAACTGATACCATTTCGGAGATTTCAATCCCTATTCCACTTTGAAATGTTATATAGAGTCTGGAACTCATAATATTTATTTAATTAACTTTATATAGTCATATATATTGCAAATGCTATATATATATATAAATCTCAAAAATAAAACTGTACAGTTCAAAAATATGAACTCATATGTGCAACCGGACTAATCTTGAGCTACGAAATTCTGGGTATCTTATACAATGTTTCTGAATAGAATTTTATCTAAAATAGGAACCTGCAGGTCCTGAGATCATGTTTTATGAGGATTACATTAAAAGCACTATCAAATATCAATAAGCGGTTATATTTCAAGTTTCTTCCTATTATTTTATAGCATACTTATTCATAATTTGTCATACAAACTGTACCTGATAGGTCTCAGGGAACTCTTAATGTCTCAATCTCAATCTGTCTCTGTCTCTGTGTCTCCCATTCTCTTATTCTCTATTTGTCTGTCTATCTATCTATCTATCTATCTATCTATCTATCTATCTATCTATCTCTCATCCTTTTCTCTACAAGATTGTGCCAATTTGACCACACTAAAATTTTCTCTAAAACTTGATTTTGTCTCCCATTTCCCACCATCCTTCAATGCCTGGGCCAGATGTGAGAGCTGGTCCCAAGGTCATAAGAGTGGGAATGATATCCTTGACATCACCAGCTGACACTCAGGAGAGTAGGCCCTGTACCTCACCAGGGTGGTACAATAGTACCAACCCTGTTAGCAGGTATGGGTGAGCCAGTGCTAAAGTTGTGAGCACGGGAGAGCTCTCCCCATTTCTCATTTGTCTTGTGGCAGCAAGGCCAGGGGAATGATGACCCCAAACCACACATCAATGCCTGTGGCAAGTTAGAGTGCTAGTCCTGTAGTCATAAGAGTGGGAGAAACAACCTTATTAGTGAAGGCCTGGGAGACCCAGCCTCAAAGTTATAAACAAAGGAAAGCTGTCCCCGTTTCTCATCTGGCGGATCAACCCAAACAGGGTTATGGCTTGACTGGCCCCAACATCTACCCAAAGACCTGCTGGAGTACTTGAAGGAGGCTGATTTGCAGAACGAAAGCTGCAGGATCTCCACAACACAGGAAGAGTCCTACTGAGGACTCAGCACCTATAGTGTAGTAGAAACTAGAGACCTCAAACCAAACCAACGATTCTTTGCAATGAACACTTACAAGTGAAGATTATGGACAAAGATGTCTACAGTAACACTTACTGTGTCATACTGCAGCATTTACATTTTATACTCAAAATTATTGATATTTTAAATTTTAAGTTTTAAATTTTTGGAGATTTCAAATTTTTCTACTTTTGGAATTTTTCCCTTAAATTTTGTACTAGTGGGGAGGTGCAGGGGCAGAGGGTAGATGCAAAGGGAAGGGAAAATGAATGGAATCAAAATACATAATGTTAAATGCACATAGGACATAAATATATAAATCAAATTATTTTTAAAAAATAACAATTTTGTGATGGTTAGAATATACTATTTGATACATTATGCATATGTAATGATTATATACAGATAACAATGCTTTCTCGGCATTTTATCATGCAAATGAACCATTTTATAATACAAGTAATACAGGATAAATACCTGTTTTAAATCTGTCATGTACTATACAAAACATTCTTAACAGAAGAGTCATAAAAGAAATTAGTCCCAATCCCAAATGTTTTTATAAATATGACAAAAGAATGCAGATGTGAAGCTTGAGAAGTCACAATATAGTATGGAATGTCACAGGGAAATGGCACAGTTATGAGGGAACAGCAGATGAATGAAAATCCTATGTACATAAAAGCATGGCTTTTTCTTTGTAGGTAGTGTCTAATGGAGACAATTTTCTTTTTTTTCAATTTCTAGCATTTTAATACAATGAAAACATACATGAAATGTTCGGAAAAAGCAGTTACTTCATGTAAATTGTCTCCTTTTTCTACTACAAGCCATTAAGTGAGGCCTGTGATCACAGGGACCAAGTGTGTTTATACTCTATGTATTTTTTTGATAATTTTTTAGTGATCACTAAAAAATTATCAAAAAAATAGAGTAAAAAACTCATAGAAGCTTATTATTACCTAAATATACAGTATAAAATGTCTAAGAATGAGAATTAATTGTGGAATACTACATTAACTATGTAAAGATATCTTACATTTGTTTATTGAAAATGTTTATGTAAATGTCTGTTGTTTTGGTTTATGTTGTATTTGTTTAATTATATAAGGAAATATTGCTGTTTCATCTTGTCTTCCTACAGCAACTGATTGGACTAAAGGGGAAATAAGCAGACAATATCTCCTGAGAAAATTGGGAGTGTAGTGGAGGGTGGGGGAGAAGGGAGGGAAGAAGCAGAGGCTGAGGGGAGGAGAGGAAGTGAGAGGAAAACATGAGAGAACAGGATGGATGAGATGGGGGAAGGACAGAAAAGGAGAGCAATGAAAAAAGTATCTTGATTGAGGGAGGCATTATGAAGCTAGTGAGAAACCTGGCACTAGGGAAATTCCCAGGAATCTGTAAGGATGACCCCTGCTAAGATCCTAAGCAATAGTAGAGAGGGTGCCGAACTGGGTTTTCCCTGTAATCAGATTAATGACTGCCCTAACTAAGTGTCTTCATAGAACCTTCATCCAGTATCTGATGGAAGCAGATGCAGAGATCCACAGTTAAGCAGTGGGCTTGGCTCCTGGAGTTCAGTCGAAGAGAGGGAGGAGCAATAATATGAGTAAAGGGGTCAAGACCATGATGGGGAAACCCACAGAAACAGTTGACCTGAGCTAGTGGAAGCTCACTGACTCCAGATTAACAGCGGGAGAAACTGCATAGGACCAAACAAGGCACTCTGAATGTGAGTGACAGTTGTGTGGCTTAGGCAGTCTGTGGGATCACTGGCAGTGACACCAGGATTTATCCTTAGTGCTTGAACTGGCTTTTTGGAGCCCATTATCCTTGGAAGGATACCTTGTTCAGCCTAGACATAGGAGGGAGGGCCTTGGCCCTGCCTCAAGTGATGTGACAGACTTTAATGACTCCCTATTGTGGGCCTTACCCTCCCTGAGGATTGGATGGGGGCGTTGAGTGGGAGGAAGGTGGGGGACAGGAGGAGGAGAGAGAGAGGGAACTGGCATTGGTATGTAGGATGATGTAACAGACTTTAATGACTCCCTATTGTGGGCCTTACCCTCTCTGAGTTGTGGATGGGGGGGGGTGAGTGGGAGGAAGGTAGGGGACAGGAGGAGGTGAGAGAGAGGGAACTGGCATTGGTATGTAGGATGAGGAAATATTGCTTTTAAAATAAATAAAGAAATTAAAATAAAAGCTGAATTGTCAATAGCTAGGCAATAGAGGGAGAGGTGGGGCTGATGGGCAGAGAGAATAAGTAGGAGGAATCTAGGCTCAAGAGATAACAAGGAGAACAAAGGAGAGAGGGAGAAATCAGGGGACAGACAGACAGCTGCCAGCCAGTAGTCAGATAGGGAAGAAGCAGGAAAAGTAGCAGATACAAAATGAAAGAAAGGTAAAAAGCCCTGAAGCAAAACATAGAAGCAGGTTAAATTAAATTATAAGAGCAAATGCGACAAGCATAAGGTAAGGCTGAACATTCATAACTAAAAGGTCTCCATGTCATAATTTGGTGGCTTGAGGTATGAAAATGCCTGCTACATTTTGGTGTTCTAACTTGGGGCCTGGATTTTCACATAGGGCCTAAGATAGCTGAAAAAAGATAATAATAATAATAATAATAATAATAATAATAATAATAATAATAATAAATAAAGAAATAGCTCCTTTAAGCAGCTCTGCAGTATACCCGGCACTTGAATAGTTGGTACATTAAGTAGAAACAAAAAGCTAAGTAAAAACATCTGCCACAGTGCAGGCACCAATTTCCTAGAACTGGAGCAGATAAATGCAACTCTAAGTTAGTGGAAGCTCCCAATTGAAGGCAGCTCTGTCAGGCTCCAGGTGAGTATTAACAACTAATAATGAACCTCTGTGTCGTGATAGGTGGATAAAAAGAAAACCTGCTGCAATGAATTCATTAACTAAGTTATGACATAGGAACCTTGTTGAATTCAAAATGCTAGTATTTTATTATATAATGGGTTTCATTTAATATATTTATATGTGCATAAAATGTATTTCTAACTTGTTAGCCCTCAATATCTTTTCTTGTCCCCTTCTCTGTTGATCGACTTCTTCATCTCAGCTAGGCTCCTTTCTCCTTTCATATTTTTGGTTTTGTTTATTTGTTTGCCCACTGTACATAATTAGATTTGTTTACAGGAGCACATGTCCCTTCTCCAACAAAAACAAACTGCCTATAGAAACAACCACAAGGAAAAGATTGACTTCATTATCCCTGACACTTTAGAAGCCATTGAGATAGCCTTGACTTTGAAATCTTATTGCCTTGACTTCCCAGTCCTGGGATTATAAGGATATACCACTCAAGCTATGGGAATACTTGTGTGTGAGGGAGATTGTCTGGGCATCTATGTATGGGTGCCTCAAGAGGGCAGAAGAAAACATTAGAATTACTGGAGCTATAGTTATAGGAAGTTGTGAGCCACCAATATAGTTGCCGAGAACAGAACGTGGGTCCTCTGGAAGAAAAATGGTGTAGGAGGTCCTTCTGTTTGTGTGTTGCTTTCATTGGTTAATGAATAAAGAAACTGCTTTGGGCATGATAGGGCAGAACTTAGGTAGGCAGAAAAGATAGAACTGAATGCTGGGAGGAAGAAAGCAGTGAGAGGGAGCACCTCCATGGAGCTGTCAAAGTCAGACATGCTGAATCTTTCCCAATAAGCCACAGCCGAGTGGCGACACACAGATTAATAGTAATGGGTTAAATCAAGATGTAAGAATTAGCCAATAAGAAACTAAAGCTAATGAGCCAAGCCAAGTTTTAATGAATACAGTTTCTGTGTGATTATTTTGGGGGTAAGCTAGCCAGGCAGATGGGAAGAACAAGCAGCCCTCTGCCTTGCAACAGAAAAACACAGGGGCTTAGCTTCTAAACTATGTCTCTAGCCCCATTGTAGAAAGTTTGTATGTATGGAAATGAAAGAGTAAAGTTAAATCTATAAATAGCACAGAGTATGAAGCATGGTTTCTAAATGGGAGGGGCATTGCAAGAGCCCGAGAATACTTTATAACACTGCCTTGACTTCATGGAAACCTGATAATGTATGCAACAGGAACTGAACTGAAATAAAAGGATTTGAAAGACATTTGGGATTAAAATAATATAAATGGACAGAAAAAAACATGGAGTATGAGAGAGAAGGTGTAATTTAAAATGGTCTTCAAGGTTCTGGATTGAACATCAGATGGAATTTATCTGCAGCTGCAGACATGGGGTATGCAGAAGAATGTTAATCTTTCAGATAAGAGTTTTATTTCAATCCTGCAATTTTGGCTATCCTTTATGAAATCCAAAGAAAAGCACAATCAAGGAACCTGTATTCTAAATTCTTATTCTCTGATTAGAGGTTGAATATATAGCATATGGATTATAAGAAAGTGGACCTGACTTATACACAGAATTAAAAAGGACAGAGGAAAATGATTTCATTAAATATATTTGAGGGAACATTTAGAGAGAATAAAGCAGACTTCAGTAGTATTATATGAGAAAATCCTTGAAAAAGTTTAAATATGGAGAGAAATGGTAAAGAATCAACAGTGTTAATTGTGCTCAGTGGTGAAATATTGCTTCCTCCTGCATTCAAAAATATTTTTCTTAGCTGAAGGAAAAGTACTTATCAATGTTCTCTAAGTTTTCCTCCTATCGCTAGAAAACTAAGTGCTTTGGTTTTGTATAACTGGTAAATTTAGAAAGACTAAATGTGAAAAGAATGACCTGAATCTGCCCATTTTTTTCTATGGCATTTTCCTGAGAAAATGAAATCTTGTTTCTTCCTAACATTTTGTTGGAAATTCAACTAAAGCAGACAAGTGTGAGGCAGAAATTGTCTGGAAAGGGTACCAATATAGTTTAGACCCTGAGTAGAAGGACGTAAAGCAAAATTTAAGCCAGAAGAGAATACTGGCTTCTAATTACGTGACTAGAATAAAAACAGAAATTATAGATTCTGATACATGCTTCAATATTTAAATTTCAGTGTAGTTATATTGCATGGTAATCTGTTTGCTGCTGTTGTTGTTTTTTTCTGAAAAGTCACAAAGATTCTAGTCTATGAAGAGACAGAATGGGTCCAAGTATATTTAAGAAGTTTGACTAACATTTACAGAGGCAAGTGAATAATATAACTGATTAAAATGGGAAAAATGGCTAACTTGGAACTGAAATTTATGGACTTGACGCTGCACAGACTGCTGCCCCTCCTTATCACACTGCTATGCATTTGCAAGATTCCTCTCTATTCAAAAAACCCTGGTTTTTGTTCATTTGTCAAGGCTAACACAAATATCATCATAAATTGTGTAAAGTTACTACAAACATCCATGTATAATACTTCATCCGACTTACATAAGGCTCAGTCTATTACCTATACATATTCAAATACAGTGTCAAATTTATGCAAAAAGATATGCTTAGAGTCTATCATCAATAATAAACATTGCTTTGGGCAGCAATAAATGTTTGAAAAACATGGGTTAAATTACTTTTTCCAGATTCTGGCTATCACACTAGTACTTTGTACATGATAGGCAACTATTTTACCATTATGCAACATGGGTTTTTGTTAAGTTTAAATACAGTATATTTTAAGATGGTAGATTTAGTTAACAAGAACCTGAATAGAGAATGAATGGAATCAGTCATGAACAACTTACCATTCTTTAAAATAACTTTATGTTTGTCCAGATGAACTGCCAAATACAGATAAATAGTAAGAATGCAATTTTCTGCTGTTGCTGTAACTGGAAGTGAAAACCTAAATGTGAAAATATTTTTATCAATAAAACAATTATTTTACATGTAGTAAAGACAATAAAATATTTTCTAATTCTTCCAAATGCCTTTAATGTTGAAACCAAAAATTATTTATCATTTATTCTTTGCTCTTATCTTATTTTATCTTAAAAGTCTGCAAATTTATATCTTAAGAGTTTACAAGTGTCACTATAAAATATACTCCAGAAAAGAGATGGGGTTAACTGTACAAGTTCAATACACAGCTTCAAATTACCATGTCAACCAGTACCAAAGTTCTTTAAAGTAGTATTGGCATAGGATACAACTATAGAACCCCCACATTCTTTACAAAACACTCTATATCAACACACCAGATACTTCCACACCCATGTTTACAGATGCACTATTTATAACAGCAAAGATACTGAATAATAGAGCATTTTTAAAAATCTGTCCTCATCTGTGAAATACAGAATTTATATATACATAATGTCATGTGTGTTTGGGTGAGTGTGTTTAAAAATAGGAAACTGTAAAATGGGAGGAGACCAGTGAGCAAAGGGAAGAAGATGGGTTTAGAAGGGTAAGTTATGAAGAATGGCAAATACCAAATGACATGATACAACAGATAATTATCTTTATGAAAAGTTAAAATTACTTAAAATGAATACAAGCCAATCAAAAACAAAACTAACAAAAGTCCATATATTTTGAAATTTTAGAGTTGAAATTAACACAATTTACTTACACTAAAAATTTTCAATATTAAACAGCATAAAGTCATCAATATTACCATCCATCGCCATCATAGAAATGATAATGATAAATCTTGTTCTCATACTGATTATAATTATAGAAGGAAAAACAATAGTGAGGCAAATGTGCTAGTTGCTCTGCCTTAATGTTCTTATGCACAGAGATACCATGCACTGCTATTATGTTACTATCTTCTAAATGAAGATCCAGCTACAGGGACTCAAAACCAGAACTTAGAGGTTGCTATTAGGGTCAGGTTCATAACCCGCCATCTATATTTTATGGGATCTTTAATTACCAGGTTTCTATCCCAATAAAATAAGAACAGAATAAAATATATGGTGGCACCTCATTCCCATACAATACCAGAGAATTAGATTGAGGCTCAAACTTTTACTTTTAAATCTTGTATGTATTTGATGTGATCACCACTACATTTTTGTCTTTTATCCTGTTTTATTTTTTCTAGGAACATTTCCATAATATACGAAAAAATGCTTATTTGTGGTCATTGCTACCAAAGAAAAGCAAAACATGAACAAACAAAAGAACTATCATTTGAAACACTGTGATTAAGAAAATGATTTTATTCCAAGAACAAAGCTTGAATAAGTATACAGTTTACTTTTTTCCTATTTTAAAACAAGCTTGTTGAGGATCATAGTTTGACTTTAGATGTTACTTGGAATAAAGAAAAATCAGTGTCTGAAAGGATAAAAAAAAATGAATAATACAAATAGGGAGTTAGTTGCATTCGTCCCAGAAACAAATAGTATAAAAATCAGATAAGGTTGTAGAATAGAAACAGACATTTTATGTATTTATATTATTATAGATAGATTAAAAAATAAAGTAAGCTTCTTTTGGCAATACTAGTACTGTACTTATTAATACCCAAATAGAAGTAATGTTGATATTTCTCGTTCAATCTCTGAGATAAATGCTGAGTAATTAAAATATATATTTGCTTTCTAATAGCAGAGGTACTGTTACGATGATCAGACAAAATATCAAGTATAATGTTAAGTACTATGATATGATTTTGTATTTTTCAGATTCAGTTTCATTCACATCAGAATAGCTGATAAAACTCTCTAGAAACAGTCCTATTTAACAAGCTGTAAATTCTCAGAGTGAAGGATAGAAGGGTGAGAACTACCTAGTTTTAGTGTGAAGGTTTTGTCCAAACCTTTTATCATAAGGCACCTAGGGAAAAAAAATTACATATTGTCTATAGTTAGGAAGATATAAAAATAGTTGAGCCAGGAAATATCTACTTGAGTAAAGCAAGATGATGAGGGATTCTGTTCTGAATGTTATTTATATTTTTTATTACCATTGATTTTTAAAGCCGCTTTGGCCTATGGCAGGGCAGAATATAGGAAGGCAGGAAAACTAAACTGAATGCAGGGTAGGGGGAGGAAGAATCAGAGAGACACAATGTAGCTGCTGAAAGAGAAAGATACCAGAACCTTACCAGTAAATCACAAGACTCATGGTAAAATATAAAATAATAGAAATGGGTTAATTTAAGATGTAAGAACTAGTGAGAAATATGCCTGAGTCATTAGCCAAACAGTACTGTAACTAGTTGTAGTTTCTGTATGATTATTTGGTTCTGGCCAGCCAAGAAACTAAAGTGCAGTTTCTGTTTGAAGAATGGCAACCAATGTTTGGAAACGTGCATCCACATAAAGTCTAATAAAGCTTTTTAAAAAAGGCTTTTACATCCACCAAAACAGGCGTCAACTGGAGCTTCTTAGCAGCCACAGTTTTTCCAATAGGCTCTGTTTACTGGCACCAAGCAGAGGTGCAGCTTCTTTAAGAGTGGCTTCCTATTTCATACTGACACCACAAACAGCTGTTTCTTTCAGGAGGTCCCACTACAGAACACTTATATTGAGGTAGGGCTGGCAGTAAACATACCTCCACCATGTTGGATGGGGGTGTGGGGGTGGGGCAAAAGGCAAAGCCACAGCACTGGTCATAGCCACGCTGCTTAGCATTTAAAAAAAGCACCCCAATCAAAAAAACATAAAAAGACCTCTAAATGAGTCACAATGTTGGATAAATATACATGGGTTTAGGAGAGAGAACAGAAAGAGTACAGACAAAGATAAAAGGAAAAAATAATAAAAGAAACATTAAAAAGTAACAGAGTACAACTATAAGTCACATAAAGATGAAATATACACAGAGATTCTGGATTATGTATATTATTAATTTTTTTGTATTTTTTTTACTTTTTTTATTTTTTTTTTTACTTTTAATAAGCTACCTTCAGAGAGACATTTGATTGTGATAGCTCATAAGCAAAACCAAAATAAAGGTATCCTGACTTCAAATTTTCCATCTAAGGATATGTTATTTTGAAAAAGAAGTTCTGATTTTGCTCCCACAGAAAATGAGAACCACTGGATTAATTCCAGGATAATGTGGTTGGATGGAACAAGACTCCCAAAAGGTCTCATGAACCCTAAAAATACTTCACCGAACAAACAGCAAGAAGCAGTTTGGAGAAAACTACACCCAAATTCTCAAGTTGACTGTTTATAAATGTTTGTTTTCATGTTAAAATGGTTGGTTATAAATGGTTAATGGAAATAAAGGGGCTATGATATAGAAATGTATACTTTACATTAGTATGGATTTGGTTTACTGATACAAATTTAAGGTCAATTCTGTTGTATGTTAATTTCTACTCTTGTTTAAAGTATTGTGTTTATACAGGTCATTTAAAAATATAATGTATAATTAAAAATTACAGATTAATAGTCATTTATAATAATTAAACTTATATTCATGTTAGTTAAGCTTTGTAGATATACAGAGATATATTTCAGATGGGGAGATATTCTTTAAATCTTTCAAAACATACAGAATATAGCATTTAAAATGTTTTAAGAACTTAGAATTTTCTCAACAATAAGACATATCTATTTCTGGCAGGACCAATTACATAAGAGAGGCTGATGGTCACTGAAGAAACTTATTATGGAATTTGCCATTAATGTTACAATGTTACCCATTTTGGAAAGAAACTGTTCTTGCCTGGCCTACTTGACTTATGATGTATAAACTGGACATGCAGGAACATAGAAAAATTACTCCTGAACTTGCCTAAAGAAGGTAAGACAGTCCTTCAGAGTTCCTACTTCATTAAAGAGTCTGTTAAACATTCTTCAGGACATAGAAGAAAGTAACAAACTTCCAATATAGGCAAAACAGTCTTTCAAATTTCCTGCTTCATGGAAAAGTCCGCCAGACACTCTGACCCTGTAGGCTGAAGATGAATGCCCCAACATTACAGAAGAACTTTGGGTGACTGTCCAGGCGGCAAGAGTTCTCAGTCAATTCTAGAGTTTTGGAAGTTGCTTACAATGCACATTCTGTTTACTTAGGTAATATTAAATCCATCTGGTGTCTTTGATGGAATTGAATTGGATGGAATAGTTATAGTTATAATTTTCCTTAGTTATGGTAAAATATGATTAAATATAAAACTTTAGACTCACAAAGAAATATGGTATCTGGAATTCTTGCTTCATACCTGTTTTGTTATATGCAATTTTACTATGTTAAAGTTAAAATATTCCTTTTTATTTAGACAGAAAAGAAGAAATGATGTGCAATTCCCCTCTGTATGCTATGACTATATTTTATTAGCACTGGTTAATAAAGGAGCTGCTTTGGCCTATGGCAGAGAAGAATATAGGTAGGAAAATATAGAATATAGGTTGGGAAAACTAAACTGAATGCAGAGAGAAAGAAGGCAGAGTCAGGGAGACGCCATGTATCTGCTGAAGGAAAAGGACTCCAGAATGTTACCGGTAAACCATGAGCCTCATGGTAAAATATAAAGTAATAGAAATGGGTTAATTCAAGATAGAAGAGCTAGCAAGGAATATGCCTGAGTCACTGGCCAAAGAGTGTTAATATAGTTTCTGTGTGATTATTCAGGTCTGGACTATTGGGAAACTAAAGCCTAGTCTCTGTTTACAGAATGACACTAGAAGTAAAAGCATGCCATTCTGAGTTCAATCTATGAAGTTCAGTGTTAAAGAAAAAAAAAAGCCTGATGTGATGATATCTGTAATTTCAGCAAAAGCAAGAGAGGAAAAGACATGACAAGCTGAAAGATGGTCAGAGAAACTTACTACACAGAGTAGCAACAAAAAGCAATAGAACAAGAGTGGGGAGGGAGGGAAAAAGAAAAATAGGCTGTACAAGTCCTTTGAAAATGCATTTTGCTGTGAAAGCTAC